GGCAAAAAAAAAAAAAAAAACTCCGATCATGAAGATCTCTAGCGATTTCTAGCGATCTCTGCCTTCAATTTGACGTTTTTGTTTCCCGATCATCCACAAGGAAGCGGAAGGAGGGAGAAGAGGAAATAAGTTGTGAGAGCGATAATCCTATTGTTTTCCCCATTTTCCTCACCTCAATCAGTTGCGGTACGAATTTTTTTTACTCAGTTTTAATAGACTTTCCCCCGATTTTAGTCATTTTGGGATGGAAACAACGTTTCCTTCAAATCCCACGTGGCTACAATTTTTCATCCCTCTTTTCTCCTCGTTTTCGCCCAACCAAACATCACAAAGTACTGAAAACTATATTTTTTTCCCCTGTCAGTTTTCATTTTGAAGCTTTTCTCCATATTTTAGCCCAACCAAACAGCCCCTTAGGATATTTATTTATTTAATTTCTTCCGTGATTTTCAAAAGTTCATGACCACAAGATTATGACCATAGTATGATCAGAAAACTTTAAAATATTTTGGACAGACAGTAAAAGCATCGTAATATACATAAAATGAGCTACCGAGAAATAGAAAGAACTGATGTACCTAGGCTCGAAGTGCACGAGGGTGACATTAGGCACTTATTATTACACTGAAGTAGGGATGTCAAATGAGTGGTTTTGGTTGGGTTTTGGTTGAGTCATAAATGGGTGGGCACATTTATGACCACTTGACCATTTATAACCTATTTAGCATTTGCTAAATAAGTCACTTCTCAACCACCCATTTACTAAATGGGTGGTTCATAGGTGACCCAATAACCCATTTAGTTATGATTATGATGTTTCTATATATATGTAAGTTTTAGAGATCTATTTGCAAACTTTCAGGGGGTTTTGACAAACTTTTAAGGGGGTTTGGCAAACTTTCAGGGGGGTGGGGTTTGCAAACTTTTAGGGGGTTTTCTACAAACTTTCATGGGGTTTTCTGCAAACTTTCAGAGGGTTTTCTGTAAACTTTCAGGGGGTTTTCTGCAAACTTTCAGGGGGGTTTCTGTAAACTTTTAGGGGGTTTTTTGTAAACTTTCAGGGATTTTTGTTAAACTTTCAGGGATTTTTTTGTAAACTTTTAGGGGGGTTTTCTGTAAACTTTAAGGGGTTTTTTTACAAACTTTCAGGGGGTTTTCTGTAAACTTTTAGGGGGTTTTTTGCAAACTTTCAGGGGCTTTTCTGTAAACTTTTAGGGTTTTTTGCAAACTTTTAGGGGGTTTTCCACAAACTTTTAGGGGGGTTTCTGTAAATATTTCTTTTTCAATTGAATCGACTACTTTGGAAAATCTCTTTTGTGCGTCAATATCTCAGCTCACTGATCGCAAATAACAATGGTTCTAATTACTCAAACTAGATTAAAGCATAAACATTTCTTGAATAAACATGTTGTAGATAAAATAATTGAGGATACTCTTGCAAATGCTACAGTGAGAAAACAGACTCAGTTAGCGGCACACTCCATCTTGTTTTAATCTTGTGTAGTAATTTTGTTGTTGTTGTTCATAATTTTCTTCAATAATTATCTTTGCAAATATTATTTCCTTAATAGTTTTGTATTTTCAAGGTCAACTGGTAACTATATTGTTGTAGAGCCATAGAACCTTAATGAGCCAACAACTTAAGAGGAATCTGATCAGCTTCAGATTTCATTCCCAAATCACTATAATCCACTAACTCAGTCTCCCAAAGTTCATAATAAGTATAAGCTCAAGATCTGAGTTCAATTGGTCCTCGCCATCAAATTCAAAGCACATTTGCGACTTCATTGCCAATTTTGAACAAACTCGTGCAGATACAAAACCATATCACAAAATATTCATTTCTAATCCAGGAGACTAGCGCGATGCCGAGAAAACCTGGATGGCATTTAACATATATTCACAAGCAAAAGCCTATAAATGAAAATAACATTTATATATCATTAAGGGTACTGAAAAGATCCCACACACGCATATATCTCCTACCGAATTTTTTTAGATTACATGTGTCATTTGCAAGTTTAGAAAATTGTAAGATTGTTTTGTAGTTTTGAACTCTTGAGGGTGTTTTTTGTAATTTTTAAACTTTAAGGGTGTTTTTTGTAAATTATAAATTTACAGGGGGCTGCTAGTAATTTTTGGATTTCATGTATCATTTGTAGGTTTTGAAATTTTAGGATGGTTTTGTAATTCTAAACTATGGAGGATGTTTTTCTAAAAATTTAAAACTTTAAGAGTGTTAATTGCAAATTTTAAATTTATTATTATACTGACTAGATAAGGTCTTAAAAAAAGAGAAGCACCCTACGCTGCACGGTCGCCGTCTCGGTCAATCGAACGTGCGCTTGGGTCTAAGTCGTTATACGGACTCGGAGCAGAAATGCGATTGACGCGTTCTTGGGACCGTCCGGCTCGTTCCTGGCATCGTCCTGCGGTTGAAACGCATGCGCTACCGCATGACTTCTGTATACCATGAGAAGCTGGCCCCCACAACAAATCCCCATCGTGAAAGCGGACGAGTCGTAGAAAAAAAATTTAGCCGCCCTTTCGTCCATCGAACTTGGACGCCAAGTCTCCAATTATTTTCGCTCGAAAAATGGTTAAATTTCACGTAACCCCCCCATCTTCTGGCCCATCTAGAGACGAGCCCTAAAGTTCAATAATATCACCCGTAACCCCTCTTTAACTTTCGGCCGTGTCAAAAACAAACCTAGCTAACGGGCACAACCCCCAATTTTATTCTTACCACGCTCCCTAACTTTCAGTCTTATTTTCAAGAAAGCGCACGAACTTTCACTAAAGTTACTTGAAGGACCCCCCCATCATGAGATACGCGGACACCCTTTGGTCGTCACGAAACGCGACGCCAGCGTCAGCGTTGAATTCAAAAGGAATCTAACCTCCTCCGTTACATAAACCCGATCCCTCGATGGGCGCCGACCTCAAAACAGAGAGGGGAGGAGGAAATGGAGATGGAGAGGTGGGCGGGTTTCGGCTCCGAGCCTAATGTTCCTCTACTCGGTCTTCGGCAAGTTCGTCCCCTTCAGCCTCGAGTCCTACTTCAAAAAGTACAGCCACAGGATCAAGAGCCTCGTCTACCCCTACATCCAGATCAAAATCCCCGAGTACGACGGCGACCGGTTCAAGCGGAGCGAGGCGTACGCGGCGATCGAGTCCTACCTGAGCGAGTCGTGCTCGCAGCACGCCAGCAAGCTCAAGGCCGACTTCGTGAAGGGCAGCAACAACCTCGTGCTGAGCTGGACGACCACGAGGAGGTCACCGACGAGTTCGAGGGGGTCAAGCTCTGGTGGGCTTCGTCCACGGCCACGTCCAGGGCGCCCAGCAACCCGTTCAGTCCGGCGCAGGAGGAGCGCAGGTGAGCCTGTAATTAATTCCCAGGGCTTGTTTTTTTTTTTTAACTGATTTATGTGAAAAACCCAATTTTTACCGATTTATGCCGGGTTAAATCCTGGAGTGTGCTGATAGTTAAAACAGTTTCTATAGATAGATTGTATGTGAACATCTTTCTTTAGACGTTTTTTATGAACCCACCCTTTCCTTTGAGAAACCTAACTTTGGATTTTAAAATCCGTGTATCTTAGTAATACCTATACTTTGCTCTGCAAATAGAATATTTTGCACGTGGTAAGAGAATAATTCCACCAGCATTGCTTGTCTTTTGGCAGCCAGAGGTCGTGGCCCTGCCGAGCCCAAAGGGTCGAAATTAACTACTCAACAAAATGTTGTACACCGACGGTCGTGTGTTAGGGGCTGTTTGCTTGCCAAAAAAAGAAGAAAAT